TCCTCCTCCTCCTCCTCCTCCTCCTCCTCCTCCTCCTCCCTCCCTCTGGTACCTATGGCGGTGGTGGTGGCCAATGGGCCCATCAAGAACGAGGGCGAGAAGGCAGGTAAAAAAATCGCAGGGCGGGACGGGAGCGAAGCGCCGGGCCCGTGCGAGCCGTCCGCGCGCGCGCGTGGGCGGCTTCAGCGCTCGGCTACGGCCCTGCTCAAGCGGCGCCCGTGAGGTTGTTCATCTGGATGATCATCCTGCAGGATGGGTGCGTTGGGAGGGGGAGGAGGAGGGGAAGGAGGAGGAGGAGGAGGAGGAGGAGGAACGAGGAGGCGGAGGAGGAGGAGGAGGAGAGGAAGGGAAGAAGGAGGAGGAGGAGGAGAGGAGAAGGAGGAGGAGGAGGAGGAGGAGGAGGAGGGGGAGACGGATTCTTGAGATGTCATGTGGCTATTCACACTTTTGGCGCCTTCGGGGGCCTCGCGAAACCTCCAGAGGCCTCCTTCGGGGACCTCCAGAAAACTTGGGGCGCATCCTCTGGAAACCGTTGGAAAATTCTTCCTCCTCCCCCTCCTCCTCCTCCCAGAGTCTCTCAGGCTCCCTTGAAGCCGTGACCGCCGTCGTCGTGGTTTGTCGTTGTCGTGGTTGTCATCGTCGTGGTTGTCGTCACCGTCGTCGTCGTCAGCCTGTTGATGAGCCCCTCGCCGTCACCGTTGCCGTGCGCGAAGCAGCACGGCTGATTGGTGATCTTGTTCCGGATGATCGGCTGCCCCTTCTTGTCTTTCACTATCTCGATGGGCGCCTCGCCGTCCTCCTCCCACTCCTTCCTCCCTCCTGCTCCTCCGCGATGAAACGAGGGGGGTCTTGCACACGAAGGCTTGGCGACCTTAGGCGATGGCTCAAGCGGGCCTCAATTCGCGACAGACCACGCGGAAAATCAGTCACTCGCGCGCGACCTTGCGCGTGCAGCGCCTGTGCACGAACGTCCGCCGCATCCTGGTGTGATTTATATCCTCCTCCTCCTCCTCCTCCTCCTCCTCCTCCTCCTCCGCCTTTTCCTCCTCCTCCTCCTCCTCCTCGCTACGCCTCACTGTCCTTCCTGCCCCAGGCCATCTGGTGGATGCTCAACACCAGGCTCCCGGTGTAGTCCAGAGTGATCTTGTGCGGGTGCCAGAGCATCCACCACTGGGCGCGCATCTGGTCGATGGTGTCGCCAGACCCTTTCTTAGGGTGACCGCCGTCGTTGTACACGAACTTGAAGAGTGGCTGGAGGTCCTTGACGGGGCCCATGACGAAGCCCCAGTTCGGGTACCTGTAGGCCCTCTTCGGCACAGGGTCGCACGGAGCCTGCTTCCAGTCGCCACACGGTGTCCACGGCAAAACCCAGTCGTCAGTGAGATTCTCCACCTGCTTGTTGACGGCCGAGCGCCGCTGCTCCCACGTGGAGTTATCCCGGAAGTGCCAATCCATTGAAATGGGGAAGCAGGCTGTCTCCGCGCTCATCACGAGCGTCATCTCGGGGCCCCCGCTGGCCCGTATGATCTTCCTGTACTTGTTCCTGATGAACGCCTCGTCGCACCCACCCAAGATCATGTCGCCACCGTCGATCATGATCGCCATGGCATCTGGATCCTCCTTCATCTTCTCCTCGATCCACTTCAGCATGAGGCCGTTCTTGGTACGGTAAAACTGCCACGGCGCACCTGCGCCCGCGTTCGTGACCATGGCGTCGCTGTTCTCTCCCGAGCTCCTGCCAGGAAGCCTCATCGGGTTACTGGCGCGTGTCTCCACGGTGACGACGCTGATGTTCCCGATGTGGCGGACAGCAGCCCCGTAACCAGCCAGCCAGCCCTCGTCATTGATGCTGCTGTCCAGCGAGAGGTCCTCGTCCTTGAGGCTCTGCACAGAGAGCCCGTGACCTAGAAGCGGCAGCGCCAGCGATGAGAGCAGCAGTCTCGGCATCGCTGGCATCTCTGGTAGAGAAGATGTGCGCACAGTGAAGTGTATACTGACAGGTGTGTGAAGTAGGTCGCCGCGAGGGGTGGTGACCTCGAGTGCAAACAAACGAATGAGTGAATCGGGATGAGGGGCAGCAGCATCTGCAGAACGTCGCAAGAAAATGATGAGGAAGAAGAGGCAGGCAGTCAGGCGAGGATGCGAAGAAGCCACGAGGCGGGGTGGAGCAAGGATGACAGGGCGGGAAGGAAGAGGAAGAGGCAGAGGAGAGATAAAGGTGAGGATTGATATCGTATGTACAGGACAACGACACAATCGGGCCACCCGAAAGCAAACGCGAAGGGCGGGGCAGTGGCAATAGTAAAGCGAAACAAACGCGAACGCGACCAACGTGTAGGGAAAGCTTCCACACTACGAGACCTGGATTTACTCACAATCCATCACTTCGGGAACCGGTCTCCCAGGACCCTATAAGGCACAGGAAATATATATCTTTTGGCCCGCCTGGAGCTTGCATAGATCCACACCCACTGCCTCCCAAAGACCTGGGAAATCAGCTTCCCATTCTGAATACGCATTCACTTCCGCACTCGGGCCGACGCCTCCGCACTCGATACCAGCCTTGCGCAGGGGTGCCGCAAAAAGCCTCGGACTGAGGACGTGGCCAAGCGGCAGCCCCAAGCGCTGGCCCATCACCCAAGACGCAAGATGTCGCGGAAAAACTTGGCTACCAGCGCGCAGCGGAGGCAGTCAGCGTGCAGGATGTCAACGGAGGAGTCATCATCACCATCACCATCACCATCACCATCGCCGCTGAGCATCAGCATCATCACCATCATCATCACCATCACCATCATCATCATCATCATCATCATCATCATCATCATCATCATCATCATCATCATCATCATCACAACCACCATCACCATCACCATCACCATCACCAGCGTCATCATCTTCATCATCCTCATCATCGGCAGCAACATCGTCAACATCATCATCGTCCTCGTCATCGTTCTCGTCATCGTCATCGTCATCATCATCATAAGCATCATCGCCATGAGTACCCACTGATCCGCAACATCATCATCATCATCATCATCATCATCATCATCATCATCATCATCATCATCATCATCATTATCATCATCATCGTCACCGGCATTAATCACTCAGTCATCCTCCGCCTCCTCGTCATCAGCAACATCAGCAGAACATCATCATACTGGCGTCGGCATCAGCATCATCATAATTCTTATCAGAATCATCACCAGCATGATCAATCCTCATCGTCGTCACCAGCACCATCCATCACCATCGTCATCAGCATCGCCATCAGAACCAGCATCACCATCATCTGAATTATCACCAACATCATCAACACGACCACAACCACCACCATCATCATCATCACCAGCTTCATCATAAAAGAATACTCATAATACTGGTATCAGCAAAAACCATAATAATAACAGTAATACGGATAGCAAGAACAAATAAGAGTAATAATGATCATCAGCACCATCAGCATCATCATCATCATCTTCATTATCATCATCATCATCATCATCATCATCATCATCATCATCATCGTCATCATCATCATCATCAGCATCAATATCATCATTAGCGTCATAATTATCATTATCGCGATCACCACAATCATCAGCATCATGGTCAACCCCATCACCATCATCATTATCATCATCACCAACAACATCACCATCACCATCACCATCACCATCCTAATCACCAGCACCATCACCACCATCACCATCATCATCAGCATCATCAACAGCATCAGCATCAGCATCGTCATCATCCTCAGCATCACCATCATCCTCATCATCATGAGGATCCGAATCATCATCATCATCATCGTCATCATCACCACCATCGCCATCGTCGTCGTAGTCGTCATCGTCCTCCTCCTCCTTCATCCCGTTGTCATCCTCACCCTTCACTGCCCTCATCTTCCAATCTGTGCTCCAGCGATCGCACGGCTTTGCGCCCCCTCACGGCGGGCTCGCAGCCCACAGGAGCTCTCACGGCGGACGCGGCTGCTGTCGTCGAGGCAGCGGTGCAGGGCGCTGGGCGCTCTCCGCGCCGGGCGGACGGCCGGCGCCGCCTGCTGGGACCGAGGCGCGGCAGGGTGCCGGTCATGGAGATGCTGCTGCTCTCACGGCCGACTCGGCGACCCAAGCTGGAGCGGCAGCGGCGCGGCCGCAGGCGCCCTGCGGAGCGGAGGCGGGCCGCCGCTGGCGAGGCCGTGGGCGCCGGGCGGGGCGGTGTGGCGCTTGCTGCACAGCCGCCTGAGTTCGTGGCTGGCGGCGGCGCAGGGGCTCGCGGCGGTGCGCCTGCTGGGCTGATGTCGGAGGCGAGCTTCGACGACAGCTGGGCGGACGGGGTTGCGCGTGCGGCGCCACCGGCAGAGCAGATGGACATGGAGGCGGACGTGCTGGAGCTGGCGGCTGCGCCGCCTGCGGGAGCGGCGGGCCCCCTGGAGCATGCGGCTGCTGCTGGTACTGCTGCCCCGCCGCCTGCGGCGCCTGGCGAGCGCGCGGGCCTGCTCGCGCGGCCCAGGGCGCTGTCGTCGAACCCTGCCGCGGACGAATCGCTTTGGGCCCTGTTCGACGCCGACGGCCTGCGCCGCCTATTCAAGGAGTTGGGCTGCTAGAGCTGTGCTCGTCTCGCCCCCGTGGCGCTGTTCGTGGGCGTCCCCGGGATGCTGCAGTGCGACGTGCTCGTGCGGCTCTTCGGTGTCGTGCCCGTCGTCGGCATCGGCTTCGGGTGTGCAGCCCATTCTTGGGGCTGTCGCCCTCGGCAGTCTCCCCACTGGGGAGTGGAGGATCCATATGTTTGCGTCTGGCGCGGGTCGGTTCACTCGGAATCGCATTCTCATCGCTCGGGACTTCCGCCGCCTCCTCCCCCATCCTGCTCGCTCCTCTGCTCGCTCCTCTGCTGTCTCCTCGGCATCCTCCTCGCCTCCTTCATCGTTCCAGCTCCTCCCCCTCCTGCTCGCTCCTCTGCTCGCTCCTCTGCTGCTCCTCCACATCCTCCTCGCCTCCTTCATGTTCGTCCTCCTCCCCCTCCCCTCCAACCCGTTGGCGCTCACCGGCCCACGCGAAGACGCGGCGGGGGCGGCGGGCGCGCTTGTTCTTCAGGACATCCGGCACCCGCACAGGCTCGAGCCTCGCCCTGAGCACGCGCACTCGCCTGCAGGGAGGCCTGGCCTCCTCCTTCTGCTCCCCCTTTTCTTCCTTGTCCTCCCCCTCCTCCTCCTTTTCCTCCTCCTCCTCCTCCTCCTCCTCCTCCTCCTCTTCCTTCTCATCCTTTTCCTCCTCCCGATCCTCCTCCTCCATTTCCTCCTCCTCTTCCGCCTTCTACTCCTTCTTCTCCTCCTCCACGAGCTCATCCTCGAAGTCCTCTGCGTCATCCTCTCTTCCTCCTCCTCCCCCTTCTCCTCCTCCTCCTCCTCCTCCCCTCCTCCTCCCCCTCCTCCTCCTCCTCCTCCTCCTCTCCTCATCATCATCATCATCATCCTCATCATCATCAGCATCATCAACAACATCATCATCATCGAACTCGCAATCGAAATCATCATCCTCCTCATCCTGATCATCCGCATTATCCGCCTCCTCACCCTCATCCTCCTGATCATTGTCATCCTACAGTTCCTCAAGCCGCTCCTACGAATTCCTCATTATCGTCAGGGCTTCTCCTATGAATCATGTTCCTCCCCGTGAACATCATCCTCGTACTCTTCATCCTCCTCCCCATCCTCCTCCCATAATCATCATCATCATCATCATCAGCAGCAGCAGCATCATCAGCAGCAGCATCATCATTATGATCATCATCACCATCACCATCACCATCACCATCACCATCACCATCATGATCATCATCATCATCAGCATCATCATCAACATCAGCATCAACATCATCATCATCGTCATCGTCATCGTCATCATCATCATCATCATCATCATCATCATCATCATCATCATCATCATCATCATCACCATCGTCATCCGTGTAAGCATCAGCATCAGCATCAGCATCAGCATCATGAGCATAAGCATCATCATCAGCAGGAGCAGAAACAGCAGCAGCAACATTACCAGCATCAACATTGCCAGGCTCCTTTTCTCCTTGTCGAGGAGGAGGAGAAAGAGGTCCAGAGAGAGGTCCCACAGGACCCGAGCTACAGTCGACCCGTATCAAAAGGATGCGCGGTAAAGATGCGAGGGCCTTGGACGGCCATGTCGGCACTTTGCGGGCGGGGCGCGGCCAGAGACAGCGGCCAAGGATGGGCCGAAGGGCAAGGATGCAAGGGTACCCTTGAGAAGGTTGCCCACCCTTCCTATGTGGGTTGACTGTAGCCGAATCCTCCTTTGTCGCAGGTAATGCGAACATCACGGCCACCAGATTCCTGACGGCCTCCTCGCTGGTGTCTGCGCTGGTTTGGCTGGCCGTCCCGCTTGCCCCGCCCTTTCCCCTCCTGGCGCCCGGGCGTCCCAGCCTTGTCAATTCTCTGCTGTTACCTGGGGATACAGTCAACCCGTGTCATGAGGATGCGCGGTAAGGATGCAAGGGTCGTGCAGGCCAATACCAACGTTTGTCGAACTAGGCTGGCCAGCGAAAGTCGCTAAGGATGGGCCGAAGGGGCAAGGATGCAAGGGTACCCTTGGGAAGGTTGCCCATCCTTACTATTCGGGTTGACTGTATGTCGACGCGTATCCCAGGTTTCGAAGGGGTTTTCGAATGGACCAAAAATTTAGACCCTGTTCGGGAGCGTCCATTCTCGACAGGGGTGCGTCCGATTGGCCCCTTCTGGGGTGTATCCTGCATCCCTGAGCTCCCCTGCATTTCTAAGGGGCTTGATGTTTGTGGAAGTCGGGGGGTGGGGATGAAAAATCACCCTCGATGCTCGTCCCTGCACCCACTGATCTGCCCACTG